AATGAAATTTAAAAGTTGCACAACCAGATTGAAAAGCTTTGAAATTCTCGTGTTTTGTATTTGTACCAATTTTCAAATAAAGTTTGATACTTGTGATTTATGATTAAGAAATCTCCTTACGTTTGCTGCTGATGAGGAAATTACTGAACCCCGATCATTTAAATCTCAGGTCGAAAACATCAATGGTTGCTATCATAAGTTGTTGACATAAGTACGTATAAATAAGAAGATGTGGTATGAGTGCCAATGGACAACTAGATGTACTAGTATAAAAAGTACGGCCTTCGACACGGAGCCTTAAGGGTCTGTTTCATAGATGGCCATCAATCTATCTCGTTTAATTGCCTTTACTTTTACCATTCTATCCGCATTTTAAAACATATTCGTATTTACATACAGAAAATCAACAGGAGACATATATGCAACATGCAAGAACTACTTACCCTTGCGAAAACACCCGTTTAAACAGAAGAGACGGATTATTAATCTTTATTTTTTTATAGTTATCTCTAGATAATTTGTGTTTTGTCTATTTTATGTCTTCTTTGAGAGAGAAATTTCAATAAATCTGTCACTTACAGTGTTACAACATACTTTTCACTGGCTGTTGTTTCGTGTGAGAACATGCAGTTATAGGTTGGGGAAAACTCATTTAATAAAAGTTAATATTTACCCTACCATTATTATTCAGACCCTCGTTCAGGCTCCAACTTAGAAAAAAATATAATCTGTTGATCATCTAAGGGGTTGGGGGGTCTTTATATGATAAACATGTTTTCCTTCAACCTGGTATGTTGCGTTTCCGCTAGGCATGCTGTATTAAGGGGTAACGAAAAAGACGGGTTTTTATTGGTTGGTAATTAAAAACAAATATCCCTTCCCCTCTTAACGAAAATCCTGGATCTACGAATAATCTTATAGATGGCGACCAGGACCAGAGTAAAGGATTTAATAAGGGAATCATCTAAAGCCATTTTATCTATATTGTTTTCCCTTGACCTGGTAATTTTAGTGAAGACACACAAATGATTCGACAAAGAAAAATGTCTAATGGTTATCTTAGATGAAAAACGGTTTATTTTAGGATTTTCTAAAAGGTCTATCCATAGACAATTTTACCTTACTAAAGGTTTATTCACTTTTCAAAGCGGTATCAGAATAATTTTAAAAATAAATCAGAGACTCTAACATCTTGGATAATAGGCAATATGCAATCTGCTACAATTTTAAAAGAGTCTCACATAAAAACCATTACATCAAAGTTTCATGATTAGTATCAGATGAGATGATGAAAATTAAAATTCTATCGATATTTGAATGACGAAGCATGGACGACGGACGCTTCGTGGTGTTTATAGCCAATACACTGACCCTCGGAACCGGCGAGTTTGAATTTTTCTTATAAACTCACATTTTACAGATCAAATATTGAATATAAATTGTAGAAGTTTGCAACTTCTATTATCATATACAAAAAAAAAGAAGAAAAATATATACTTTAATACAGTAAAAAAAATGTATCTCATGTTTTCTATAAAATGTTGAGTTCGTGTACTTTTAGAAATCACACATTTTGGACATGAAAGTTAAAATATGTGGTTGATCCAGTTTCCTGTATCTCTTAGGCAGGTGGTTTTAATCAATTTTCTTATGTTTATCTTTGTGACTTCAGTATATGTGTACTACAAATTAATGTACTTCAAGTATATGGTTGTTAATGACCTTTATGTCACGTGAATGTCTGGTATTGGAAAAGGATCAAATGTTTTATAAAAAAAAAGTTTACCTAAAAGTAAATTACAGTGGTTGTAATACATGATTAATAATTGCATCATTACAACAAATCATTATCTAGTTAAAATAAAACTTATTGATTATCCTTTATGTACATTATGCAAAACAGAAAAATGTATAATATATGGTTACAAGAGCGCAATTATTTGTTCACATTTTACCGTGTACGATGAAAGCTTATCCATTCATTTAGGTTTTTAAAAAAATCCAGAAAATCAAATTAATATTATACAAAGTATATTAAGTCAACGTTTTCCGCATGACCATATATATTTTTTTTGGCTCTTATGAAACGCTAGCTGACATTTCTAGTAACAGGAACTGCTACCCATTTTTTTCTTGTTTGTGTAGTCTTCGAGAAATAAAATATGGAAAATGCATTACGAATAATTGCGCTCTTGTTACCATATATAACAACTCTAGATGTTTTTAAAATAATCTCTCACTGCAAGCAATTAAAATAGAGCTGAAAGATATGTACAATTTAGAAAGTATGATGAACATAGCAGAATTTGACAATGTATGGAATACATTTTAATCATTATTAGATAATTCATTTTAGAGAATATATTATTTTTTATGGTTCTTTACCTGATTTGCTTGTTGTAAGGAAAGAAAAATGTAGATTTTTATTTTTTTAAATGTTATTTACCATGGATATGTTTCTTTTTAGAATTCTGTTTTCTTCTTTTTTTCTTCTTCATTTTTCACTCTTATACAAACTGTTAATTATTTTTTCTAAACCTTTTTCTTTCGATCTGTTCTATATAAAATGTCTAATATTTCCAACTATAACATATTTATGATTATGGTAGTTTATATCTTACATGTTGTCATGTAAATATACTTACACCAAAATGTCGTTAAATGGAATTGGATACCCTGCATTTATCATGCTTTTCAATAACATATGGTCAAATCGCTGAAAGACCCCCTCCTAAATCATTGAGAACTATCATTCTGCATTGACAATGGTATGTTGGTGTATCATTGCTATAACGCCCCCAAGGTGTATCTAATACATACAAAATACCAGTTTTATATCTAAAGGCGCTGGAAATGTGACAGCTACGTACAATGGCAAGTGCGTGTTTGAATGGCGTCAAAATTAATCTAAACACAACATCATTAAACAGCATACCCAAAACATCAGTTCAATGTCTGCAGACATTACAATTATTGAGGAGAGGAATTACTAAATTTAGACAAAGGTTGGAAATTATTACCTGACCACTTAGTGGCGATAGAATAAGTAACTATACGATAATTTGTGAATATAAGCCTAGCGTATTAATATCAATGCATTGCTAGAGTAATATATTCGCACAACCAACATTGGTTGATTGGTTGTTACTTGTTCGACGTCAAGTGTAGTTCATGCATATTCATGCAAGACGAGAATAGATTAGTAGTTGATACGATAGGTGGGGTATACAGGGTAGGTCGACCGGGATTAAGAGCGAGAAATTTGGACTGCCACTGGAAAAAATAAGAATGTTGGACAACCGCTGGTTGACATGAATTATTGAAATGGTCATCATTATAAATTAACTGTTTACAAAACTTTGATCTTTTTTCAAATACATTCTTAAATACCAAGGATTTCATACCACAGAAATAGATTACCTAAGCTGTATCCAATGCTCTTCAATTTCCAACTTTATTTGGCCTTTTTAACTTTTTTTATTCGACCAGCGTAGCAGATGAGTCTTTTGTAGACGAAACGCGTGTCTGGCGTACACACAATTTTAATATTGGTATCTATGATGAGTTAAGTAATACAACCACTGGGTAGATGCTACTGCTGGTAGAGGTTTCGTCCTCGAGGGTATCACCAACCCAGTAGTCAGCACGTATGTGTTGACATGAATTATAATTGATATGGTCATAATTATATACTTAATGTTTACAAAACTTTGGTTTTATTTGAAGTACTAAAGATTTTCTACCCAATGAATAGATAACCTTGGGTGCATGTATTTGGCAAAACCTTTCGGAAGTTTGGGTCCTCAATGCTCTTCAACTTCGTACTTTAATTTGGCCTTTTAAACCTTCTTGAATCGAGAGTCACTGGTGAATCTTTTGTTGACGATACGCGCGTCTGGCATACGCGAATTTAAACTCTGGTATCTATGATTGATTTAGTTAGAAAGATACTCTAGGAAATGTTGTCTTTCAACAGATCACCATGATGCCCCCGAGTGAGTTGATGTAGGAGTTCTTTGACTTGAAGAGAGCGTGGCACAGCCACTCGCCCTACATGAAGCATTGGCTTTAACGTTCTCGTTCGTACCTGACGTTGCTGCGTATTTATAAAAAAAAGGATTTACTGCCGAACAGGTAAAGTATAGAAATTGCCATATTTCTATATCCCAGTCAACCTTTTGTTTCACCCAAACAAGAAAGTTTGCTGCAAAATGTATTTGATAAAAGTTGTTGGTATATAGCTAGATAAATGTTGTTGGTATATAGCTAGATAAATGTTGTTGGTATATAGCTAGATAAATGTTGGTAAATAGCTAGATAAATGTTGTTGGTATATAGCTAGATAAATGTTGTTGGTATATAGCTAGATAAATGTTGGTAAATAGCTAGGTAAATGTTGTTGGTATATAGCTGGATAAATGTTGTTGGTATATAGCTAGATAAATGTTTAGATTTTTGAACTTCCTGTCTTGTAATTATAAAGCTGTTAAAAACTGTTGTTGTGAAGGATTTTGGCCAATTTCTTTTTTTTTTTAAACAAAAACATGTATGAAAAAGATATCTTAACAAAAAAAAAAACTCTCGCTGCGTCCCCTTTAGCCCTCACCGACTATTATAAGTATGACCATTGTAAAAACTTGGTTACAAGTAAACATCAGTAAAATATTTAGAAGAAATTTTTTTTTTTAATTCTTTGTCTTAACGTACACCATCATGTAATACATTCCTTTTATAGTTGACTATACGGTATGGGTTTTGCTCATTGTTAATGTCCTTACGCTGACATATAGTTGCTGAAATCCGCTTCATTTGGATTCTGTTGGATGGTTGTCTCATTGGCAATCATGTTACATCTCCTTATTTTATATCACAACACCATGAGCGTGACAATATTTAAACCTATATATTGGCATATATGATTCACAAGTTTGCTGATTTAAATGCTATATATAGACCAGGTATTTCTTAATCTATGTCATATGATAAAAAATGTATACAAATATCACAGTCTCGTGATTAGGGTATTAAGCAATCTATTTTGATATATAAACAACACATATGCTTTAATTTTCATATTACTAAAAAGCACGACATAACAATATGTCTGAAGATTCACAGGTCCTTCGAAAAAGAGGAAAAGAGCAGGATATATACGGCGAACAGCCTCCACGTAAGCGTTTTTTTTACATAATTACTAAATAATATAATCAACTCACTAGCGGCATGTTTTACGGCCTAAGCTCTTTAGATATCGCTTCGGAATGTGCAATTTTTTCCTTTATTTATTTACATTTTTACAATGCCATCTATACAGACATAGAAAACTTTATTTTGTTCGTCATAGTGAAAAACATATAAACATAAGCTCTGTTTAGCTTTTCGTCGAATATAAAAACGTGTACATAACCAATACACAAAGCATCATTAACATATAAAAAATACAACTGAATAAAGCCATGCAACAACCAAAATTAAAGATTTCTAGCAAGCTTAAATGAAATGTAAAAAAAATAAATTATAAAATTTAGATAGAACTGTCTGACAAAAACAGTCTGAACCTCATGTGACAAGCGCCTCTCTGGCGAAAAGTTTAAAAATATGTACTAGATAGCAAAGCAATTCATATAAGCTAAAATGTGCGTTAATAAATATATTAAGAATTCGGTATAATACAAATTAAATAAAAGAGTTGCAGAGTTGACTGTATAATAGCAAACACTACGAATCCGAATTCATGTGGTAAAGCGATATTTCGAACCATTCCAAAACTGAACCAAGTTTTAAAATGGAGAAAAAACTGTCTTCCGTCCTGAAGTGGTCCGGAAGACTGTTCCACAGTGTAGCTTCGGCATATCTAAACTATTTTTTTTACCATAATTAGATGTTTTTACACTGGGAACATCTAATATATTACTGTATCTACAAGATTACTATGTGGTTTTAACTTTTAGAAGACTGTTCAAACACGAGGGAGATAATCATAAAAGTTTTTTTTAAAGCCATAGTCCTGATTCTGTGCACCAGAAGAGTTGACAACCTAACCTTGTCCACAAGTTATTAAATGTGTGGAGTTCTAGTCATCATAAACAAACCGGAGTGCTCGTTCTTGCAATTTATAAATTTATCCTAAATACATGGTATAATATTGAGATAGACATCGTTTTTTTAAATCTCACAGTTAATTGAATGAATTACGACGAGTGTGGATTTTTGTGGATTTTCTTAAACCACGACTACCCCACTGATCATCCTTCAAATATCTCAAATTCAAATGACATATTATATACAAATGTTTTGTATTTTTATTTATTTTTCAGCTTATTCAGAAACATCTAATCAAATAACACCCAATGGAAACCAGGTTATCATTTTGCAACAAATGTTTTATGAGGATCCAGTCCGAGTTATCTGTCCACATTGTGGAGGCGATATAATAACATCTACCCGGTATAAAAATGGCACAGCTACATGGTTGGCTGCAGCAGTCATGTGTTTTATTGGGTAAGTTTGCAAAATTACTATAGAATGTTCTATAAAATATAGTAATACAAATCAAAATATATTATAAAAAGGTCTATATTTAATACGGATTTTCTACCCCAGGAATAGATTACCTTAGCTGTATTTTGTAAAACCTTTAAGAATTTTTGGTCATCAATTCTTTTTAACTTCGTACTTTATTTGTCCTTTTTTAACCTTTTTGATTCGAGCGTCGGATAAGTCTTCTGTAGACGAAACGCGCGTCTGGCGTACAAAATTGTAAGCTTGGTATCTATGATGAGTTTATTTAATATAAAGCTGTACAGAACTATATTGATTTTCAAATCAAGCTTCGTATTGAAAATCCGGTAAAATTTTGTTTTAATCTATATGTATATTTCAATACATAAATCAGCTTCTATACTTTCGGACATAATTATTCTGTTTTGTAAACCTCATCCAGACCCACCTTCAAGTCATAGATATGTTAAAGTCCGATTTGCATCAATTATCATTTTCTTTTTTTTTAATTTCAGTTTAGGTTTCGGTTGTTGTTTAATTCCATTTTGTGTAAAAGGAGCTAAGGATGTCATACATTCATGTCCAAAATGTAGGAAAGTTGTTGGACAGTATTCTAGAATCGGAGAATAGAGCGTTATTGGATTTACAAAATAAATTATAACAAACGCTCCAAATGCAGTTATACAGGATCAACTGAGCATAAGATCCGTCTAGAGTTATCGAGGTGATGTAAAGATCAGTATGGTATTGTTACTGGCACACTATGATACAGAAGATGAGAAACATTTCTGATTTAATCTCAAAATGAATACTCCAGTCTTGAATTTTTACAGAAAATTAAGAATATCTATTCAATCATGTCAAATATAGATGATACGGATATCTTTGATAAATTGGTTTCATGTCATCCACGTCCATCAGTTATGCAGTATGCTGCTCAATTTAGTAAAAGGTCATGGCCACTGAAGAAAGTGGACTCAACAAATGCATGATATGTACATAATATATGTGTATTATGTCTTGTACTTTTATTATTCTTGTGCTGTTGTTTTATGTACTGTTATTTTATTAATTTCATCATGTTCGTGTATGACATCAACCCCATTAGGGGTATAACTCTGCATTTGAATAAATAAATTAACTATGATACACGCTGTAGTACCTTAACTGGATGGAGTTGGTTTACTTATATGCATACAGTTCTAATAAACAGCAATTTTGACTATAACCAAGAACCTGTTTAATTTAGATACTTATAAGATAGTGTCAAGGTACATGTATAGATTTAAGAAACAAAAAAATTAAAACACCTTTCAGAACTCTTTCATTGTATGTGATGGGGTTATATCAGAAACACTAGATTCACTTAATAATGAGCATGTATACTAAGTTTCGATTTGATGTGACCACAGAATGTCCCTTTGGTATCTTTTGTCTTTCTTTTAAACCAAAACTTTAACCCAATATACAACAGATTGACACTCAAGACTAGAAAACAAAATGCCCCCTTCTACTATGGTTAGGGAGGTGGGCATAAAAATGTACCAGGGGCGGATCCAGACATTTATAAATTTATAAGGGGGGGTTTCCTACCCCAGAATAGAGGGGGATTCCGACTATATGTCCCCATTCAAATGCATTGATCGTCAAAAAAAGGGGGGTTCCAACACCCTGAACTCCCCCTGGATCCGCCACTGTGTACAATGAACAATATAATAACAATACATATGATATTTGGACCTTTCCCATAATAAACTTATAAAACAAATAAATACATTCGTGTATAAATTATTTATTTCAAATAAGTCAACTGAATGAAGATTATACAAGAGTAAATGAAGATAATTGCAGTTTAAAGGAGAAATATGTTACAAGAGCTTTCCTACAAAATAATATCCGATAATTTATACAGCATTATCAATTGACCAAAAGCAAACTATTTTACACTAAGAAGCATCTAAAAAATACTATTAGGTAATTTTTTGTGTTTACCATAACACTCCCCCCACTTGTCTATTTCTGAATCAAAGCAATGCAAGGAATCAAAAAAGTCAAACAAATCTTGTGTTTTATTTGAGCAGAAGTAGAGCTTTCCTGGAGTATATATCATTAGAAAATGATGAAAATTGGCCCCAAATAATGTTTTAGTGTTGGACCGTGCATAGATGGTATTGTGATATTTTTAGTTTAAATAATTTAAAATATATTATTTTTAACTCATTAGACATTTCCATTTAAAACATTGATAAAAATACAATATGTTTAAAATAGCACTGAGTGTTTACTATTAGATTACAGTTCAGGCTTATATGGCTATTTTCTCCACCAATCAAAAGAGTTCTTTAATTGATTTACATATTTGATGATATTCTACTTGGTGTCAGAGGTGAGCAATATTTCTATAGTCTAGTTAAAACATTTTATTGATATTGTTGGGGGAAAAAATCATGCATGACTCCAAAGACTCCATAGCCAAGTTCCCTCCCTAACTACGGTGGTTTTGCCATCCTTAATGCCTATCAACATGGAACTGATTAAAAAAATTTCCTTTTTTTTTTGAATGAATATGAGGTATTTTGTTTCTAGCTATGAAATAAGGCTGTTCTCTAAATTGGTTTAAATAAAATGTAAATGGAACAAAAAATTAGGAAATGTTTATAATATAAATCACATACAGTAGTTCACCTATTTCAGTTTTAATTATCTTGTTTTACATGATATACTTAGCAAATTACAAAAAGCTCCTTAAAAATGTAAAATCCTACAGCAAAGAACTTTGAGACTATAATTTTATTTACAGCTAGATGTTACATTTCTATATTCTTACCAAATATAAAAATATATGTCTGCTAAATATAAGTCATCATTTTTAAAGCATTTCTAGACATTTTAAGCATGTCCTTTTATAATTTTTCTATTCATGCGATGTATACACTGAAAACTCTCAAAATATATCTTTGTAACTTTATGAATGACCAAACTCACAGGTACGTAAAAAAAAGAAAGAAAAAAGACCGAATATAATTAAAGGCTGAGGATTACAAAAAAACTAAATTTGCAAGTATTAGTTGCCAATATAATGAATTAAACATTACTTTTTTCAAATTTTAGATGAATTTTAACATATTATATTTCTTTATTCCATATATATTTTTACTTGAATAACCTTTAATATAACTGCAATCATTTATACTGTGCTTTCTTAAATATTAGGATTGGTTTTATTGGTAAAAAAACATGAATCATAAAAGATACAATCAACTCTTGAAGTCTTACATAAATAATTATTTAAATTTTACTTTTTACTTTAAAATTGAACACACTTTCAGTCATGGTTTGAATTTTTTTTAACAATGTCACAAAATTTTAGTATAATCCTTCCTCCCTTTAGTTAAGTGCAAATAAAATTGCACACTGAAAATACAAATTCTTAAGCATTTCCAAATTTTTGGTGAAAAAAAGAGGCTAACGATACCAAAAAGACAAAGAAAAACTCTAAGTAAAAAAAAATTACAATTCCATGGCAAAAAACGAAAACAGAAGAAAAGACGAACAAAAGTCAACAAAACAACATAGAAAGCTAAAGACTGAGCAGTAAGAATCACACATAAACCAGGGATAATCTCACGTTTTTCAGAAAGGTAAACAGATTCTGCTCTACATGTGACACCTTTCATGTTCCTCAGGGCAAGTACAAATTTAGTGACAAGTCACATGTGACTTATAACAGAAAACAGGGCAAGTATAAATTTGGTGACAAGTCTCATGTGACTTATAACAGAAAACAAGGGTTGACTGTATCTTATTTATATGTTGATATATATATTTTGGTTATAGATTTAGCAACATGCATGGTAAAATACACAACAAATACTTGGCACATTGATTTAAAAAAGTATAGCGCTACTTTCATGGAACTTTACTTATTGAATTCAATAGGCTGAAATTAAACACAATTCTATTATAAAGAAATATATAAGGCAACTCTCTCTCATAATAAGATTAATACAATAAAAAATCCCTTATATGGTCCATTATTATGGTTTATAAACAGTCTAAAATTTTTTAAATGTTTAAATACCAGATTATTTATACTTTTTTTTTATAAAACAAATCTAAGTCTACAATATAAGCTTCATATAAATGCATTTTATGAACAAGTAAATGACCAGAGAAAAACAGCTATATACAGTGACTATATATGTACAATTTAACATCACAAAGCAATCACATTCACAACATAAAGAAAACATCCAAACGCAAAATAATGGCTACATTTATCCATAGACCTGAGTGTCTAGAATATGCATGTTCATATAAAAGTCAGCGTAACCTAGTTATTAAATAATCTTACACGACAGTCAAAAAATATTTTCTTGCTTTTCTCAATAACATCTGAAAAATTTCCAGAAATGCAAATCCATAATATTTATTTTGTATTTCTATGTTTTTGTTTCCTTTTTAAAAAAGATTTTTTTGGCTCATAAAAAGTATATGATTAACTATAAATGAGATTACCCATGCAAGAGATGAAAAGATGACATAAAGTGAACAAACAAATTTAAGACATAGCCTCAAGCTCTCAATGCCATAAGGCAAGTTGGTTGAAAATGGGTGGTTTTTTTTTGTTTGTTGGAATCAATAATTAAAAAATTATGTTTCAGAATACAATATTTAAAGAATGGTTTATGGTTTCTGCTTTAAAAGTGCACTCTCTATAACGATAAATAAGTTTATAATAGAAAAGCCAAATAAAATTATAATTTTGTCTACAATTAAGAAGACTTCCATAAATTATAGCTACTCAAAAAGAAGGAAACACTATTTGTTCAGTTGAGAATGAAATTTTTGTAATAGTTATAATACATTTTATGAAATACTTCTGAGAGCAACAAATTTTCAGAATCATATATTAAAATTATTTACAGAAAAAGAATAAATATCAAATTTATGTAACTTCATTTACTTACTCTTCATTACTTGATTAAATACATGGGACATGGACGTTTTCAATTATCTAGTTTCTAACATATAAATTGCCTTGCAACTGGCTCCTTGTCCTTGTAGAGCTAAAGGAACAAGGGTACTACATTTTTGGTATGAACCAGTTGAACCTTCAAGGAAGGCACCCAGTTTAATAAACCACTGTTTTTTCCCCTAATGTACATAACTTTGTGCTATCATTTGAAATCAACGTAAAGAGATTCTATGATGCTTTTTTTTAATTACTTAAATAGAAATAATATGATTCTATATAATTTTTACTTTTAAAATTCAACACTTTTTTAACAAATACAAATTTTTTTAATCAATGATCAATTTGAGTGCTAAAAAATGTAACTTCATAAAATTCCAATCCTTCTAAATAAATGAAACCTTCACAAAAAGTTTTATGACTTCAAAACAGCAGAGTAACATTAAAAAAATCTTTCTAAGTGTTGGCTTTCTTACAACTACAGTCCTCATCTGTTATGGTAAACATGGTAAAATCGAACAATTTTACTTCAAATAAATAAGTCAATACATTTATGTTACAAAGCCATATGAGATGGCTTTTGAAGAGCACTGTTTTGTATAGTAAAAACTTGTTACAAAAATGTTCTAGAATTGGCAAAGTTTTACAATAAAACACATTTCTTCTTTTTCGGTGGTTCTGGTGGTTCTAAGGCAGCTAGTATTGCTTCATCAAATACATTCTTTAATCCTTTCTGTAAATACATAAAGCACATTATGAAAAATAAAGTTCTTCACAAGCAGAACATATTGTTTTCCTTTCTGTAAATATACATAAAGCACATTATGAAAACTCTTGATTTGTAGTTTCCGAGAAAAATATGACTAAATTTTATATATGGCCATTATGTGTATTTAAAGAATATATAAGTTATCAGTACACAGGAAGTTGATGAGTAATGAATCTGAAGGTGAATCATACAGCATTCACACAGAAAGTCTGATACTAGATTTCAAGAAGCTCTGACTTTTAGTTCTTGCGAAAAACGCAACCAAAATTTATACATTTGTACATTGCCATTATGTGTACAGTGTAAGAACATGTACATGTTGTAAGTATTCTATAAACAGGAAGTGGATGAGTGATGAATCTGAAAATGCATCACATATTATAGCATGCTTACATGTTCATAAAGCTTGACACAAAATTTCAGGAAGCTCTAATTTGTGCTTCCTGAGAAAAATAAGACCAAAATTCTATACATGGCCACCATGTGTAAGTATATTATATAAGTATTCGGTAAACAGGAAGTGGATGAGTGATGAATCTGAAAATGAATCACACTTTATAGCATGCTTACATGTAGCTTGATATCAAATTTGTAGAAAAGTGTGACCAAAATTTTCTGAGACAGACAGACACAAACTGGTCGACTTTCCCTTTGAAGAATGGAAGTACATGATTACTTTCTTCCTTGCTTCTTTAAAACAAATCTTATGAATTCAACAACTTAGCTTATTTATTTGACTATAAATGGAGAAAGTGCCCAAAGCTTTATAGAAATATTTATTAATGCAGACAAAAGACTTTCTACCATAGCATATAAACACAAACATTTTAATTCAATTCTTTGGTATCCATGGTATCTGTGGATCTGATTGGATAATAACAAGCATAAAATTCTCGTTCTACCTTTCTGTGATTATAAAGCGAAGCTGCCATTTTGAATTGTTTTTTTTTTATTGATATGTGATGTCTCACAAAGATGTATCTATTCTAAAGTCATGAAAGTACATGAAATGATAAATCCTGATCTCTGAGGAAGACAAGTGATAACAGACTTATAATAGTGTAAAACGCCTACTAACCTGTGTCAATGCTGAGCATTCTACATATTTTACTGCCCTTAGTTCTCTTGCAAGTTTCTCTCCTTGTTCACTTGTGATTGGTTTTTGTTTATTTTTGGCTAATTTCTCTATTGTGGTTGCATCATCTCTCAAATCTACTTGTGTGCCAACTAGTAAAAATGGTGTCTTTTGACAATGATGAGTAATTTCTGGTACCCACTACAATACAAAAGTATCAATAAATAAACTTAAAAAATAAATAAATGGGGAATGTGTCCATGGACACAGATGATGCCCCTGCTTGCATATAACATTATAAAGGGACATAACTAAAGAAAGGTAAAAGTGACGCTACCCAAATTCGTACTTGATCTGAGTTTTGTGGTAATAAGCATTGTCTATATAAGTTTCATGACATTTGGTTGAGGAAAACTTAAGTTAGAGAACAGAAATGAATAATTCAGCAATTTCCCAATTGGAAAGGGGCATAACTCACACTTGCTCCGTGTTTTGTGGAAATAAGCATTGTGTATAAGATTCATAACATTTGGTTGAGGCAAACTTAAATTAGAGGCAAAAGCTTCAGCAATTTTTCCATTTGTTGAGGGGCATAACTCTAGAAAGGTAAAAGTGACCACCAAACTTCAAACTTGATCTTGGTTTTGTGGTAATAAGCATTGTGTATAAGTTTCCTAACATTTGGTTGAGGCAAAATAATGTCAGAGAACCAGACTACATGAAATTCGTTGGACCGTCAGACAAATCCGGTGAATAATGGATCGGTCTGGTAAAATTTTGTTGAATTCCTGTCCAAATGTCTGGTGATGTTTATCGTCCAGTTTTGTTTTTTTATTATCGTATTTCCGGTAGATTACTACTTCCGTTGTATTTTCAAATTTACATATGAAAGGATTCTAACTTTCGTCAAAATAAGTTTGTTACTTCATTAGAACGTGATGAAAGTTGCCTTAAGTAAATTTGTAATCCATTTATTGCATTAAAAATGTCATATTCCTTTCCAAATAGCATGTCAAACATCGTTTATTTTTGTAAATTTTCTTCTTCCACCATTGAAATATTTGTACAAACTACGGATTGGAGTCAGGATTCACCGGAAACGGACCAGCTATAACCAAAATATGGATTCTTACGATGTTGACTATGATCGCATGAATGGCACAGCTGACAGAACAATATAGATCCCAAAAGGAAATAAATGGGGAATGTGTCCATGGGACACAGATGATGCCCCCGCTTGCATATGTTATAAAGGGACATAACTCAAGAACTGTAAAAGTGACGCTACCTTAATTTGTACTTGATCTGAGTTTTGTGATAATATGCATTGTGTATACGTTTCATAGCATTTGGTTGAGGCAAACTTAAAGAAAAGAGAACGAAAACGAAAAATTCAGCAATTTTTCCATTTATAAAGGGGCATAACTCCAGAAGGGTAAAAGTGACACCACCAAAATTAAAATTTGATTTGTGTTTTGTGGTAATAAGCATTGTGTGTAAGTTTCATAACATTTGGTTGAGGCAAACTTAAGTTAGAGAACAGAAACAAAAAATTCAGCAATTTTTCCATTTGTAAAGGGGCATAACTCTAGAAGGGTAAAAGTGACACCACCAAAATTCAAATTTGATTTGTGTTTTGTGGTAATAAGCATTGTGTATAAATTTCATAACATTTGGTTGAGGCAAACTAAAGTTAGAGAACGGAAACCAATTTTGGGATGTATGTACGTACGGTGGGGGCATAATAAAATTTCTGAAAATCCAGTAAATATGCAGTTTGCAGTTTTGAAGAGTAGATTTATTATTTGTATCAAATACTTTCATGATGTGAAACAAATAATGAGAAGTACCATTCTTTGTTTCTTTAAATTTTACAAAATAGTGCAAATATAGGTAGATTTGTAGATATCCAACTGAATTATCTTCCCTTGACCAGAATTAATAATTGCTGAGGTTAGTCCTTTGTAACAATCAATTTGAAGTGCATTTCTTTATGACAATATTTGCAAATTAATAAAATCCCATCATTTTAGGATTCTTTGTAAATATTTAATCATTAACAAGTTCCTTCGCTTCTGTTATATGTCAAATCACTGTACCTTCCCCCTAGCAGTATTTCGCTATCCCTGTTGTCATGTTTGTATATATATTACCTTTTCTTTAACATTTTCAAATGATGCTGGTGAGACTACAGAAAAACAAACAAGGAAGACATCTGTTTGTGGATAACTCAATGGACGTAATCTATCGTAATCTTCTTGTCCCGCTGTATCAAATAAACCTAAGGTATAGGGTTCTCCACCTATCATAACAGTAACTGCATAATTATCAAATACCTACAAGAAATACATGTGTGTTAGTAATAGAAATTTCATTGTTACAGCAGGCACTTGAGCTTAGAGTGCATGAATGCCTTTGTGGATGATCTCGTTGATTTTTATGATATTTTGCATGCAACTAAAGCATGTGGAACAGAATATGAATATACGATGTATGTAAGAAACTACATGTATCTGTCGACTGAGTAATGTTTTTTTTATTTGTTGACACAGAAATTTAAATATTTGACAAATAGCAGAGATTAGCAGTACAAATATATTATATCTGAAGAATAGGTTGTCAATAATTTCAATTTTTAATAACTTTACTTTAGCCTTTCCTCAGATTATTGCACATTTGGTCATCCTTGTTAAACTCTGACCGACCAAACATCAGTCTGACAAAATTTTTTTGGGAGTAAAATTCAGAAACCAACCAGTTTCCCACAAAACTGTTTATGATTTAAACTCTGCATCTGATATTTATTAGGGCATACTCAGCAGAAACAAACACAGAATCACCACAGTTTTAAAGTTTTTGACAGTATAAATCTTGAATTTAAGCTGAAAAATTTTATTGATGTAAAACTTTAAGGGGACAAAAAATTCATTTTCTCTTTCATCATGTTTATAAATCATTTAATGCCTAAAAATAATATTTTGATGCACTAAAATACAACACCATGCTGATTTTTTTTTTTTGCATTATCATCACATTGTATACAAGATTTAACTTTTTGTACTTAAATAGCAAATTTGGTGACCCCTACATATTTTAAAGTGAAGAAGAACCTTTTTGCCCTTCAAATGTGAAATAAAGTGTACAAAACTTACTGTTGGCACATATTCTGAAGGAAATTTATTAGTTGTATATGATATTAATAAACATGTCTTTCCTACAGCACCATCTCCCACAACCACACACTTGATTGTCTGCATGGTGGAAATATCTGGAAAAAAAACCAATATAAACTTGAGCAAAGTTTTATAAATATATAGATTTCATACAAAAATTGTATACTCATGATACTTAAAGGAATGATTAGGTTTCAAATCATGCTTAAGTATGATATTTCTTACGGCGTCAGCTAGAAGTGATCCCACTCAATGCACGGAAAAAATGCATGTCCGTTTTTTATTAAAATATTATAATTACCGGTAAACACTAAAAATAAAGCTAAAGTCGGTAGAAATTTAAGTTCTTCAATATTCATAGCAATTAAATAGAGGCAATGGTTGAGTTGTAGTAATTGTCAAGATTAACATGGGTTACCCTGGAATTTACTTCCTTATTCTACATGACGAAACCCATGTGTAAACATTGTCATTTTTTACCATACTTGGTTTATATGACTTTAAATTAATCATATTTCTTCCATAGAATTATTTTCGTACACTGAAATTAAGTAAACCTAAACCAAAATTAATATATTGTCATTTCCACAGTGGGTGCTGGAACTTGTACAGAATGAGAAAAACTTCTAAAAAGTCCCTTGTGGCAAAGTTTTGAAGTACTAGTGTTTCCTGCAGGATGTTTTGACGTGGTATGGCGCCCTGTCATGTTTTTCTTGACGCCCTGCCCTTTTTAAGAAAAAAAATAGGCGCCATGCCCCTTTTCTGTCGTATTTTAGAACGCCCCGCCATATTTTAATATCGGTTCTGCAATTCATCTTTTAGCAAGACCATTTCGAGTAATTTCCCTTCGAACGAAAATCTAAATTCTAATGGCCCACATTTTATTGAATTTCGTAATGTTTGAACAGTTTTGAAGCAACAGAGTACAAATACGATCAACATGATCAATGATTGAATCTAGTAGGGACAACATGGATTTTTACCTAGGCCTCTACGAATTTAAAATGTAGACAATTTAAAAGGGAACCAGGCGATCATTTGAGTTATAATTTTATGATGAATGGGATGAACATTACCACAGTTTGTTTATATTTTCTATTTATACTATTCGGTCCGTTGAGACGTTGGATTGGGTGTGAATTAACGATGGCTTTCATACTTATGTTATCTTAATAAAATTAAAGATAAGAATATAGCTGATATAGTTTTGAATAGTACAAAAAATCAACAACGTTTCAATAAAAATAAACACAAAAAAACACATTGAACAAAGATGAAAAGCAGAAGAATATGTATAGTAAGTCTTGCTATACAAATCTTTGAATATCTTAAAACTATTTGTACAGTTATGAGCCAAGGTAACTTTGATTGGTAAAAACATGTGAGATCCAAAAGGTATTAATTGTCACTTCTTTTGTGCATCTAAAAAGCAATGCATTGCATATGCTCTTGGTCATGCAAAGTCCACTTTCACAACACATCCTTCATGTCCTTAGACAATCAGTCTCAGTGATCCAGTATTAAAGTTTATAACTGGAATTATTGATTGAAATTAGGCACTTGAACAATGAACATGATCAAGATTCTATTAGCTGAGTCTAGAAGTGTTAATTTTATTACAAAAAGGGATTAAGTTAACAACCTAATATACATATCATTATTTCTTACCAATAAATATTAAACAATGGTATATTCCATTAAATCTATTACAGTGCCTTTGCCTTTATATCTATGTGAAGAGTGCCCTAAAAGTGTAGTCCTCGGCGCAAAGGGTGCCCTTAAAGCCAATTGCGCTAAGAGTGCCCTCTGAGAAAAAAATTACCCTGCCTTTTTCAAAAGCTACAGGAAACACTAAGTACACACGTCAAAAGTCGTCATTTCATTTCTTTCAGCATTAGAATAGAACATACAAAACTGTAACAAAATAAGTTAACTTTTTCTAATTATTCAATATTTATTTTTTAAAACTTCTGAGATTAAATCTGAGTGGGTAAAAATGAACTTTCTACTGTAGACAGGTAGAAATGACAATATCCATGCGATCTGAATATAACCTGAATGGACTATGAAAATGATACTTCTTATATTCTTTATATGAAATTTCACTTTCTGCATTCTAATTATAAATAAATGCAAAATAAAGAAACATACATTGTACATTTTTGTAGCTGAATCGTTTGGAGTACCTTTTTTTCACGGGAAAGTAAAAACGCAACAGTCCGCATGTCACCTTACTTGGACATATTATACTGACTCTGAGCCGACCAATCTTTGCTCTCACTCCTTAATGCCACATGCTTAGAGGAGAAGTAGCAAATACCACTTTTGAGGTCTTTGGCTTGACCCGGCTGGGGTTCGAACCCACAACCTCCCACACTTGAGGCGAACACGCAACCATGACACCACCAAGGCTGATATAAAGAATTGAAAATTTGGGAGGAAACTAAAGTATATGTACATGTTTAATATACATATGTAGGGGCATTTGTTTTTTTTCTTTCCTATTTTCTATCCCACATGTATATTACTACAAATTCAGGTGACTGTGGATAAACAAACGCAGTGAAATGTAAATTTGTTCCTAATGGGTCAGTTAATTGGAAAGACTTTTTTCTGAAAACAACATGCAAAATATAAACCTTTTCCTTGGCAACAATGGGAAGTTTGTACATTGGAACTTGAAGTCATTCCTGACATGACCATAGGTTGCTCACTGGATAATTATAGGGTGGGTCCCAGTTGATTCTGACGTGTCTAAAGTACAGTAGCTCATATAGTTCTGATCTGAACCATCTTTTTCAGCTATTGAACTTGCCTTCCTCAGACTTCCTGAAATTTTTTTTCATTTAATCAGCTTGAAAATCAGTCATAAAATTTCTGTAAATCTATATGGCATATAGAGGAGCTCTTTTTTTTAGGAAAATTAACTGCCCTGGCAAAATTTGACTGGCCTTTTGATTAAAGTGAAGACTGCTTCCATGAATGGAATTATCTTTTATCACAATAGGATTTAAACCTCTTTAATAGGTACACATGTGCGAATATAAAGAAAATTTGATCTCCTCTGGTTTTATCCCGGTATCAGGTCTGTTCGCTTCCTATACCGATTGAATCATTAGATGCTGTTTAGATGTATAAATCAAAATATTTATATTTTCATTAATAAAATTCGGGAGTTTCAAAATGAAATATTTTTTTCGGGGGGGGATGAGATTTGATGAAGACATCAAACAATAAACAGTCTGCACATTGATGAATCTACGTTAGCACATCACAAATAGTATACAATATTGAAAATAAATTCCTGTCATGCTTTGAAAAAAATTTATGAAGCAGGGGTCACCTCACTTCAGAATTATAGGGAGAAGTGACTTCTCCTTGGCAGCCAAACTGGGATAAGTGAATTAAAACCCAACAGGGAGACTTCAGGGAAAATTGAAGGATCAAGTTATTTCTTTTTAAGAATCAAATTTGTCAAGCATCTTTACCTTTTTGTTACTTTTTCAAAGCATTTTTGCATGACAACTGCTAAGGTGGTATTTCCTTGCCTTGCCATGCTTATGGTCTGAATTAATTTATATTTGTATCTACGGACTCAAATTGTCAAAAAATATCATAAGAGCTACGGTTATGCAGCTAGGTCTGAACGAATTGAAGATTTGACATTGGTCAAATTTTGCTGCATCTCAAAGATTTTTCAAACAAAAGCATGTTTTGAATTGCTCACAATATGTGTTTAATAACATTAAATGATTAAATAAAGCAGGAACCCTTTAAATAATAATCAATTGTTAAGTAAGTTTAAATATCTTGAATACGGTTTCACTGTCTTTCGTTAATTTCAAAGTTTGCGATATTTTCATGGAAAAGGCTGTTTTCCAGCATCACATTGCTGTTGGAAATGCAAATAAATGATCCTAGAACACTAGTACTACACAAGTGTTAAAATATGACAAAATCAGAACAAGTAACATACAGTCAGGGGTACTACTTGTACAAGTTATTTTTATTTACTTGAAGAAGTAATTATAATATACTTATATAAGTAAGTTTGTAGGATACTTATACAAGTGTATTTTATTTACTTGTATAAGTAAATTATTTTTTTGGCCTAGTTATGTCCCTTAGACATTCAGATTTTTTTACTTATACAAGTAAAAAAGTCATCCTATCTTCTTTTCTTGAATTCTTAGAACTTCTTTGCTCTAACAGAATTTTGAATTGTCTGTCCTTTGCAGATGTCTTTACTATTCATTTAAGTGTAATTTCATGGACAATGAAAATCTCATTTGTCTGTTATCTTTAGAACACTGCTCATTTACAAGCCCCCAAGGAGCAATTTTTGAAGGCCTTGCGCAAATACTTAAGATCTTTGCTCAATCAGTTTCTTTGTTGAATTAATGAGATGAAACATTGAACTCTTATCAAAAATTATGAGCTAACCTGAGAAAAATTGTTTAAGGCATGATTTAACATCTCAAAACTTGAGAATTTTTGTGGAATTGTAAAAAAATTTACTTATACAAGTAAATTTTTTAGAAAATTAAGGGGAGATTATTCAAACAATATAATTAACTTGTATGAGTGTATTTTATTTACTTCTTCAAGTAATTAAAAATTACTTGTACAAGTAGTACCCCTGACTGACATAACCAGAAATTGAATAAGTATGTGTAAATCAAAAAAAATACTATGCGGGACGCAATGGAAAATTCATACTTAAAACTTTACAAAAATATACTACTTTGGAAGTAAAATAGTGCCGTCCTTTAGCGAATTAATGTTAAAGTATTATCAAAATTAAACTTGCATATAAATATGGATTAGGTAAATGATAAGAGTTTTGAAAAGAAAAAAGGGCGCCCTCTACAATTTTAATAACAAAGATGGCAGACAATAAACAAACATGGCAAAATCAAGTTTTTTTCTTGTTTCTAGCTTACAGTGCATCCTGTCAAGCAATTTTAATGTTGGAGTTTAATACCTCGGACAACTCAGTTCTAAATTTGGGGATAAAATTTGTTTTGTATTTCGTCGACTATCAGGTCATTAACGTTTGGATCGAGAATTTTTCGAAAATCATGAGGCGACATTGGGGAATTTTACTGAAAATCGAGGCCGACATAAACTTCTCCCTGGAGCTTCTCTAGAGTTAAGTGGGGAGTCCTAGAGCGACCCCTGAAGAAGTACATGTACCTTATAGGATAATTTATGACAGCTGAAGAACAATCTTTTTTAAAACAAGACTAAGCAAGTATATGCAGGACATGTTTTGTCAACACTCAGGTTTATGAAATCAGACATGAGTACACACCAATAGCTATATGAGAATTCTGATGATCGATTCCTCTGTTTTTTGATAAGACAGAAGATGTTAGATTATTTTAAGTTAAAATCTACGCATATATAAAACAGCAAATATGATGAACTTAAACAGGCTTTTGCACACGATTTAACATACAGAAGCAGTACACTGTAGTGACTGTACATACATAAATGATAAACAAGGCACTCCCAAGCCCCCTTTTTGTTTTAAAAAAGTTACGTTTCCTTGTATTTATTTGCCAAAAAATACACAGTTCGTTTAGATAACAGTTCAAGGAATAAACCTCCTTCAAAAGAAACGTTAAATATGAGATTGACGAGGATAAAAGAGGAGAACATTAACATTAACAGGCACCGGAAGCCATGCCGCCATTATTTTTGACAGACTCCGCACAAGAATTCAATAGAAAAAGAATTTCAGTGATAGTAAGGAAAGCTAAATCCCAAATAAGTCCTTTGAGTTGATGCCTTATAAACTAGCTCGCTTCTTACTTAGATCTTTTGTTGATAATCATGCAAACAATACCTACAATACTAATTTCCGGGGTGTTCAGTTAATCCAATTTTAACCGGAAAAACTTACAGCGCATGCGTTTATGACGTGATGTTCTTCTTTAAATAGCTCCAATAAATACACTAGTAACGTAGCACCTGTCAACATTCAAATGATCGACAATACACAAATTCAGGTGTTATATGTCCGAAGTTTAAATCCAAATATAACAACGAATCAAATTTCTGGCCTATTTTTATGGTTCTATTCTTGGATAAAACTGGGACTAAATTAGAGAAAGAAAATAGAATAAGACATATAAATTTATGTACTGTCGATTATTTTAAAATCATTTTTGATTCGAACCTTTTTATGATCTTTTATACTAGGTCAATTGCTCTGTAATTAATTATTTACCAATTAACCAAAAATTCATATGGACTCAGTTAGCTTATTTGTTGTCTTTCTTTATTCTCACAAACCAAATTACAAAGGTATAGAGATAATTATACATATTTCAATACAATTACATAAATAAATAATGTACGAAAGTAGATAGAGGCATTCACAATTCTTCACCCAGAAAAGTTCAATTTGTTATTGATCTCCTTAATAAGTTTACATAGTTCGTTCAGTTCTGTACATTTTTTAGAATTCATTAAGTCATAAAACTTCAATGTGTTTGGTCTATTTCTATAGTAAAATGCAATACATTGTTTTTTACAGTTATCAAAAGCTGAACAATTAAAAATGTAATGGTATTCATCACCAATGGCATCTGAATTACACAATACACATTTTCTGTTTTCTCTTTCTATGTTTTGCCATCTTCCAGTTTCTATTGGAAATTTCATGTTCGATTGTTTGGTAAGCAGATATATTTTTAATCATTGACTGTAATTTGAATTCATTTCCCGTATTTTCTGTCTAAAGTTATTTGTATTAAATTATCAACAATGGCCTCAAGATTTTGGCCTGTTCACAAGAAATGTGTATACCCTGGAAAGTCTATCAGTCGGGAATGCATCTTATATAAGCCATGTCACGAGTCTGTCATTGCATGGTTAGATGGATGGACTAGCTTAGCCTGAACCAGTTTCCCCTGAATAAAATAATAGATCATTATATGTCTCTGATCATACATTCTGTCGATACTCGCTTATATTTTGGCATATGACAAGGTCATGCATTCTTTCCACATATTGTTTAATGATGCCTTTTATACTAAATCCGTCAATGGGTCGTACTGATTGAAATGTTAGTCACCTGGGAAAATATGGTGCATTTAGTAGTTGAAATAGGGATTTGAACTAGCTTTCAGTAACTGCAAGTATGCTAATTGTTAGAGTTACCGATTTCATGAGTCGTAGCCTTTTCAACCTATTTTTAGTTTGTTCTAATGTTGTGCTGTAACGCCAACTCTAACTATACAAATCCTTGGTTACACCACTGTCCAATGTTAAGGAGGGTCCCAAGTTTAGGAGGGATTCGAGCTCTCATAAATACATTTGTCTATTGATATAATCGGCATTGGTGAGACAGCAATCAAATAACACGGGTAAACCAAAGGAGACCGTCGCATTTGAAGGTCATCATACCATTTTCAATAACTTGACTTGATGAACGTGCGCACATACTGAATATGTACCATTAAAGCTCATAATTGCTTCGAGTCTTTACAAGTTAAAATTTAGATTCTCCGAAGGTAGTTTGATCCTACATAATTGGGTTCAAATGCATGCAAGTTTTGATAGACTTTTATATCTGAGTAATACTGTTGATCAAAGAGCATAGGTAACTATGCAAAGAATACCACTAAAGAAAATCCTTCTTTGTACCCATTGATCATTTATATAAGCCCTAGATTATTCATGGTTCATTGTAGTGCATATATAGGAAATTGCCAGACGAGTGACCAAGCAGGATCTTTCGAGCCGTAAAAGGTATAATTGGCCCGCTCGGATAAAACATATTATTGCTTCAAATCAATTAAAAAAATGTCTGACAGAGTAAAAATTGTCAAACACGACTGAAGTTGTCAGTAAACATTTTATAAGAGTAATATTGTATGATGATTTTACCCACTTTTTACAACTTTGGGAAAAAATGAATAAACACTGTAAACAGCAAAAATAATCAGCAAGACAAGATACCACATACTAGTAGGTGAACATAGCCGAAATTGTGAGTCGACCCTTTAAAGTAGTAATTATATAACCCCTAGATCATTCATGGTGCATTGTAGTGCATATACAGGAAATTGCCAGACGAGCGACCAAGCAGGATCTTTTGAGCCGTTATAGGTATAATTAGCCCGCTCGGATAAAACAAATGATTGCTTCAAATCAATTAAAAAAATGTCTTGTGAAATATTATGGTGTACAGAACCAAAATTACCAGCTTAAAAGGTTATGCATGCTTCATTGCATATCCGTACATTGTAAAGCGAATTTTTATTGAATTTGAAAATATACTGAATTATTTGTATGCACCAAACGCTCCATCTATTATAGCATGTTTGTCTGCCTTAATATGACACCCGTTACTTTTTGTTTTATTTTTCAATTATATCCATCTTTAAAATCTTTCATTGGACTCTCGGAATGAAGTAAAGTGAATCGGTTCACCGCTAGGTAAGTCAGTCGTATTTTAAGTAAGTTTTATATTGATTTATTTGAGTTATCTCCCATTGAATGCAAGTCAAGTACATGTAAATTCATTTATGGTTGGAATATAGATAAATATGAATAAAAGGAAATTTAAGCCAATTGAAAAAAAAACAACCCGAAACACAGTAGGTATAAGCCAATTAAAAAACAAACACACAATGTACTCTTGTTTGTTTGTCTTTTTCTTTTTTAGCCATGGCGTTGTCAGTTTATTTTCAACTTATGAGTTTGAATGTCCCTTTGGTATTCTTCGCCTCTTTTTGTACACAGTGACAGAAAAGATACCCAGATAATTAACAATTGAAGTGAATTATTAATTGACAGTTCTTGTTCTGAATCTTGCAGAAATCTGACTATTTGATAATACACTCCTTGAAATATCACATGTAAAAGGAACATGGTCTGATTATTGATAGATTGTTGCTTGGTTAACGTTCAGTGACAATTATTTCATGCATATTCAAATATTAACAAATAGAAAAATAATACAAAAAGGTAGGTCGATCGGGACGAAGGGCGGGATATATTTGAACTGTCACTTGGAAATGAGGGTATGTTGGATAACGCAAACATTTTTCCTTGCAACAAACCACCTACGGACACCTCGTATAATTATTGCAAGGGGGTTTCAACGGTTCAGAGAGCGTGGCAACCACCCTTTACCAGGCATCGAATTATCCTGGACTTGACTGCACCTTTTAATACATCCCACACAGTCAAAAGGATACAACAATTTAGGAAGGGTTAAACTACCGAACGGGTGAAGGGAAGATAATGTTTTTATACCCCAGTCAACCATTGGGATGATCGTTACGCAAGTTATGTATGGCTTGCATAAACCACCCTTACCCCCAACGCCCCAAATCCTGCAAAAAAAAATACACGTACCAAAAAATTCTTTTTAGACTCCAAAAACATAGATGTAAAAACGAAGATAAGCGAAAATGAACAACACAAGCTCGTTAGCCTGTCTTTTGGAAAAAGACGGCACATAATTTGGAAGTCAGGGAAAAATATGCTCCTTAATCCAGGAGGCTTGCTAAGGTTGGTTAAATACTGCTTTAAAAAAAATCAAAGTCCAGAACATCATGCACGAGAAAAACATATTGCGTGTTAAAAATACGTTTGACATATGTATACCTTCGAATACAGATGCTTAGTTACAAAATGAGCATTTCTACATACTTTTAGATAATTCAAAATTGTCCAATAAACATAACATTTGGTGACATGAAAAAATATTGATGGGTATTGATTTTTTTTTAATTCTTTAGTGTAAAATATCGTGTAAATAGTTGATCGACAAAAATATCAGACAACCAAGTTTAAAGATAGAACAAAGGGCGTTTTAAAAATGCAAGTACTGTCTATTATTTTGAAAACCATTATAGAAAAAGAAAATCTGACAGGGCAAAACTTGTCAAACACGGCTAAAGTTGTCAGTAAACAACTTATAAGAGTAATTGTCCTTGAATGATGATTTTTATACATTTTTTACAACTTTGGGAAAACTTTAGTAGATAAATAAATAAACACTGTAAACAGCAAAAATAATCAGCAAGACAAGATACCATATATAGGTGAAAATAGCTGAAATTGTGAGTCGACCCTTTAAAGTAGTAACTACCCTTTAATGATGATTTTTACCCATCTTCTTCGAAACTATAGAAAGAAAAAAATATACTGTGAACAATAAAAAAGATGAGCATGACAAGATCTAAAGAAAAGTCAGCATAGCCCTAGTGATTCCTTATAGGAGGTATTGCCCTTAAATGACGACTATTTTACCCTTTTAATGTTTTAGACAAATCTATAGATGATACAGAGAAATTGTAAATGATCTGCAAGACAATATATCTACAATTGGCCAACAAGGTCGAAATTGTCAGTAAACTTCATTTGGAAGTAATTGCCCTTGATTTTTACCCATATTTTGTGTTTTGGGCAAAAACGGGAAACGAAAGTGATGGAATCAAAATTGTTCAAGTTTGAAAACACAAATCTATTAGTAATTTTCAACAGGGGTGTAGAAATATGTACAAATGGACAACCTCCGCCAGAACGTTCAAAGTAAGATCCATGATTAAAGGCGTCCGTTTGGTTGTGCGGGATGTATAAATACATAGTCACGGCAAGTCAGAATGAGGACTTTTAATCAATCCGTTGAATTAACTATTCAAGGGGAATATGTATGACCTACTGAAAGGCAAAATTTCTAACCATATTCAACATATCATCCCCTTTTAATGACACCCCTATTGCCCCGCCGTTTATCCCAGTCAACCAATTTCGAGACCTACAACATTTATTTATTGAACCACAAAATTTGATTTATTATTTATGCTGCGTTCACACGTAATTCGAATTCGATTCGCATTAACTAATTCGAATTAGTTTAATTCGCATTCGAAACGTTTAACGTCCAAACGTAAATTCTAATGCGAATTGCAATGCGCGTCAAATTCGCTTTACTGTCCTAACGACGTTAACTTTTAATTCGTATTAACAAAAACGCATTTCTAGTGCGAATTGGATAATGCGATTTAGCCAATTCGAATCAATTCGAATTAAAAAAGAAGAGTGTGTGAACGCGATTAGCGAATTCGATTCGCATTCGATTCGAATTCAATTCGAATTAAATGTACGTGTGAACGAGGCATAAATGTACGTGTGAACGAGGCATAAATGTACGTGTGAACGAGGCATTAATTTATTCTCGTTAAGGGCATACGATACAGTTTCAGGGGAGTTAATGACGTTGCTAACGTAAAATGTTATTTTGGCGACGTCAAACTGTGACATATCGGGAAAAGTTGTATTTTTCGACTGATTTTTATCATTCAAACTGATTTAACTTGAAAACGAGTTCATGGACCCCTCTTTTTTAAAATGACATTCGGTTTGATTACGTATGAAGATTATTTGTACCAATTTTCATGAAAAAGTCAATAATGCAATTTTTTAAAATTTGATAAATATATAGCAAAAAATTACGTTTTTTTTTCTACATTCATGAACATTTGATGAATTTGAGTTATTTCTAAACAAAAGATTTCATAAATTTATCGGATACTTATATAAAACAGAAATTACAAATAATTTAACAAAAAACAGTTTGTGTTTATGTTTTAAAACAAAAAAGTTATGCATTTCTGTCGGAAGGAAAAATACGTCCACAAATCCGAATTTTGAGCAAATATCTGAAATTTCGAACTCATTTTACTCGAAACGTAGCACATGAAGGTATATTTTTTATTACATATTTGGTTTAATCAGGTAAAAAATAGCCTATTTGCAAATTTTCATCATGGGATCAAAACTGTATCGTATGCCCTTAAGACTATGCATGCTTCTAGATCGGTACTTGGTGTCTCAGTTTTTTTTTTGTTAGATTTTGTTAACGCTTCATGCTGATCTGATGAGTCAAATCCTTTCAGCTGCCTTTACAGTTTGTTCTTATGTTGTGCTGTTACAGCAATGTCCCAGGTTAGAAAAGGGTTGAGCGCTTGCAAACATGTTTAACCCTCCTCATTCTATGTGCGTCTGTCCAAAGTCAGAAGCCTGTAAACCAGCCGTTGTCGTTGGTTGCTGTCTGTCATTTTCGTTTTTCGTTTATTGTTTTATGATAAATCAGGCCGATTATTTTCTCTTTTGAATTGTTTTACATTTGCCATGTCGGGACATTTTTTAGCTTGACCTTTAATTGCTTAAACACACACGCCGTTTGGTATCTGGTGAATAGTTGCATTTATGCAAACAACATTCTACAGAACTCTACGTACATTCTTTAAAGTCAACAAAACACACAAGTTAATATATATAATATAAAAATAACAGCACTGAAATAATAAAATATAATATATAATATCAATATCGATCATAAAGCATTTATAACACTCGCAATCAAGGCATCGATTTAAACCAATCAAAGCATCGATTTAAACCAAGAAAGTGATTGTTTCTGAACATGCAGTCTACATCACGTCTAAATTCGACTTTATATATTGTCACTTCATGGTGCCGGAGCTGAAAGACAGAAAAAAGAGTAAGATAAGAATATTTTATTTTACTACATGTAAGACAGACACGATAAATAAATTGAAAAAAAAATCATCTGCAGAGAAGAGGAATAAAAGCAGATGAAGTGGAAACTTCAATGATACAGCAACCTAACGACACGTAAAACTAGGGGTCAGCATATGTGGTCTTTAAAACAATAGACATACATATCTGCACAAAATGTCAAGCACTAAACTTCTATCATTAGAATCACTAAAAGTTTTGATTAAATTTATAGTGATAGGTAACCGACAAAATTTATATATTTAAAGACAATCACTGACGAAGATTGTGACCACTGGGATTGACAAAAATATAGGATGTACATTTGTTTCATAAAAAAAGTACAGTTAAATGGGATTGTTATTATCTGATGTCCTCTCCTATTGCTATAAAGAATTGTGAGATAAGACATATAATTGCAAATAAACATTTGCATTGGTGCTATACTGGTGTGTAGTACATGAACCATGAGCACATGTAAACTGGAATATATTTGTGTTTTTAAGAATTCTCGTCCCGAATATGCATGAAATATTTGCCACTGGACATTTATAAAAAAATAAAATAAACGGCAAACATGCAATTAAGAAAAATGCAAACGGAATTTTGTTACAAATTCAACATAAATTACAAAAAGTGTAAATTTGTAAACCAAACATATATTTGTAGTTGCTACACATCTTCGTCAGTTGATCTCATGTGCAATAATATCTTCTTATTTTTTTCTTATCACAGAATATTGACTTGAAACTTACTGAGAAAATGTCCGTTCCCACTATCTTTGTTAGAAGAAATTCTTTTCATAGCTGTCGTTGCAGGATATTCCTGAATTGGCATAAGCTTAGTTTTGGTTTCCTTATCAGGCAATGATGTGGTTGTGGTTGGATATTCCCGGTCTAGTAACTGTGGTGTTGTAATTGGATATTCTCGCTCGGGTAAAAGTGTTGATCTAATAGGAAATTCTCGGTCGGGTAAATATTTTGTTGTAACAGGATATTCTCGATCAGGTTCCGGTGTTGTTGATATAGGATATTCTCTATCAGGTAACTTTGTTGTAATAGGATATTCTCGCTCTGGTAAATGTTCTGTTGTAATAGGATATTCTCGCTCGGATAAATGTTCTGTTGTCACAGGATATTCTTTCTCGGATAAATGTGTTGATGTAATGGGATATTCTTGTTTTGGTAAATGTGTTGTTGTGATGGGATATTCTTGTTTGGGTAATTCTGTTGTTGTAGGATATTGGTGAAATATTGTCGTTGGAGAAGGATATTCTGTTTTAGGTTTTGACATTGTTGCGCTAGACAGTGTTGTTGTTGTAGTCGGAAATGTTGCCGTCGACGGTTTTGTCGTACTCGCCATTTTCGTTTGGACAGTAGCTGATCTTGTTGAAGATCTTGTTGTTGTTGGTATTTTGGGTTTGACTGTGTGCACGGTTTCTACTGTAGCTAAATTAAAAATGAAAAATACGACTAATCAGTATACATGTACTTATATATGAATATTAAGAGTAAAACAAGTAAGTAAAACTATTTTAATAATTGCATGTTGCCCTCCATGTTGTGTATTAAGCAGCCCAAATATAGTTTTATTGTTGAAATCGAATCCAAATCTACGTATCAGGTTAAAAAACAGCAAATGCGACAAAATGAAAATATACGAATAAAAGGAGGAGATACATTTAACATTATACTTACGAAACTGACAAATGTAAGAAAATTTATTTGGCCACAAGTGGCATTCCCTATCATGCCACAAGCCATGGTCTCCCATATGTATTTGTGCACAATCTTGTGTAAGACGTAAGAATCCGTTGCCTTCATGTACTGCCCAATGACTATATGTTAAGGGTGAACCTAAAATAAAATCATACAGATGTTATATTGCAATGATTTGCATTTATTTGCACGTTAAAATGATAACTACACTATTTTCGTACAACCGATTTCTGAGTTTTTACAGATAATTAAGATAAATAAAAATGTAAATTAGTCGTATTTTTCTAAATACCAACCAATGTATGTTTTAAATTAAAATTTAAACATTTAATTACACCACCCTTAAGAAGACAAATATGTAGTCTCAAAAGTCAAAGATTAAATATGTTGCGAAAACAATTAGGATCGCGAATCCCCAAAAAACAAATAGAAAAATAGAAAAAGAAATAAAACTTCTGTATCTGCATGGTAAATAAAGAAACAAAAGTGTGGTTAGTTGTACAATTGTATGAAATTTTATTACGTTTTCGTGATGGATCTAGCATTTTCAAGGGAAAAAATGTCAAAAAATTAAATCCAGAGATACGATAAAACGTTTTTATATATAGGTAGCATGGCATGGGATTTTAAAATATGTATCAATGATAGTTTTACCTACATATTTGTCTTCTTAAGGGTGGTGTAATTGAATGTTTAAATTTTAATTTAAAACATCCATTGGTTGGTATTTAGAAAAATACGACTAGACAATTGTTTATTCAATTCTTCTTTATCCCCCCATTAAATTCTGTGGTAACGCCCTGTGCTTATTCTGATTTTGAATTCTATATATACCACAACATACCATCTACCCATACAAAGTGTCCTTCGTGGTGTCTATCGTTTAGTCCAATCCAAACTGCCTTGTTACCAACATTCAATTTCTGTAGTGTTGTCTGCAGATAATATTGGACATCGTAACTTTTTACAAGAGCCAGATCACCACCTCTGTTGTTACAGTCATGTCTTGCGCCATCCCAATACTCCTTCCGGTTCAAAACAAACTCGTAGCAAACTTTCTCAAATACTAAATGTGTATTACCAGTGTTGATATTCGCAGGGCAGTCGTATGTCGAATATGCCAAAGGCATACTCCATGATAACTTGAAAATTTCTGCAACAAATACATAAATAAAAAAAACATTGTATAACTAGTTGTCCATGCGTGCATTACGCAAAATGGTAGGGACAATTTGGCCTGAATTTATTACGTAATGGTCATTTTTTCAAACGTCTTTAAATTTTGACCAAACATTTACAATACCATGATTCATGTGTGTGTACTTTGAGTTTTAAACAACTTTATGGGGGTGTTATAGATCATGTTGCAAAGTGATAAATATCTAGACTTAGCTCACACTACAAATTTGACGGAGTTTGACAAATGTTTTAGTGTTTTCCCGCAAGATAACGAAGGTGGATATTCTTATATATATAAGACCAAAGTTTTATTAGAAATACAGCTATGCTATTATTTCATTTTGATTAACGATGTCCTTCAATGCAAAATTTTACCAAAACGCGTAAACTTGCTAAATAGACTACAAACAACAAAAAGTCAGTAGTGAACAAAATTTTGATGGAACAGATCTATGTGAAATAAATCTTTATAGTCAAATGCTAGTTTCTAATTTTGACCCTACTGTCAGTGAAACAAATAAGGCATTCCAATAAACGTTGTATACAACTTTTTTACCGATGATTTTACGGCTTAAATTGAGAGTTTTCCTTTCCAACTCGCAAAAAAAGCACCGTTCAGAATAAATGTTGTATCTTATTTTAACAGTCTTATAAGTTTTTGAAAGATATATTGAGGCGACGAAAATTAAAAAATTGTGTATTTTTCCATTTTTCGTCAGTTTTAGTCGTTTAAAATGATATTCGTCAGACAAAGCGGCATAACTCAATTATATATCGGTAAAAACTGTATGTATTTAGCTGGGTACCCACTTTAGAAAAAATGAAACAAAAATTAAAAATTGGATGCCTTTATGCTATTCAAAATCCGTTTTAAAGAACAGAATGATATAATTTGAATAGTTGAAATGTATTTTCGATGCAGAACTAGTTGGAATGCCCCCAAAAAAGTCAAGCTATACTTTCTTTATATGCTTCATGTACCTCAAATTATATTTGGACGTTTCATTAAAGACGCGTGCTTCTATAGATCTGTAACGGTTAATACTTCTGCATACAACAGTTACCAATTATAGCACCACAGTACATCATATAAAACAAGAAACATTGTGTTTACAGCGGGAGTTATTTTTTTAGCATACACTTAATGAATGAACATTCATTTCCAGACCAGCGTACTTGAATTTGCAAAATATTAAATTCATCTTTGCATGAGAACATTGAGTTACATGTACGATTTGAAATGCACTCTGACCTTTCTTTACAAGTACTTTGGTGACATCAGTAGTAACAGAGAATTCAGCAAGTTATGTCTACTTTCTACTATTTTGGAATTTATCTATTAAAACATGCAATATATAAACGGGAATTTAATGAATACAAAGTGCAAGTATTCGATATCTTTATTTTATTAGATTCGAGGTACATTTTTTCACCGAACAGAGGACTAAGTTTACATGTATATATTTTCTATATATTAATGATTTATATTTCTTTTTTATAGATATAAAGATACCAAAAAACGGATAAAAAGAAAAAATACAAATTCTTACCACAAAGACAAATAGCCTGGGCAATGCAAAATAAAAAAACATCCATGTCTCGGTTATTATTGTCAGTTTAGAAAATTACAATTCCAATACAGGTTATCACTTTTAAATATGATCACTTTTACATATATATGTATCTAATCTAACCCAATAAATCATACGATGTTTCATACTGCAAAAACGATTGACCTCACCTGATCTATTTTGACCTTGTGGACTATTGCTATAATTCATGTAAAACCATCCTCTGTAATTTGCAGATTTGGACCAACGATGAACAATTTGTTAGATATTTGAATATCGTGTTTTTTTTGCCTGCCAAGCAATAACTTTCCCGTGTTATTGTTTTAATAGAAAATAGGGGGGGGGAGGGGAGGGGTAACAAACACAAAGGAAGTTTTTACTAGCTATATGCTAGTAAATATTTAGTCTATTTACGTTTATATAGTTGTGTAATAAATAAATAATTACAGGTTTTAGGTAAAGCTGCTTTTGGTCTAATTAAAGATTTGAGAGAGAAAAAATCGATAGAAAAAATCTGTTATTCATGTAGATATTTGTAAAAAAATATAAATGAAAAATTAGCTTTAAAAAATGCATGCTATGATTTCGTTTCATGTGACACACTTGATTTGACACAGACTCAGTCCTTGAACGTTAATGAACTTTTATTCCTTTATTTTGTATGATAAGGTACAGATCGCCAAAATTTTAATGCCAATTTATTTACTTTTAAATTGCCTACTTACTTGTTAGACTTGATACAGTGAAACCTGTCCAATATAGCTGAATTGTCCTAAATGAGAGAGTTTTGCTGCATTATGAAGCTGAAAGGATGCAGAAGACAAATTCATGTTACCAATTGATAAGTTTCCAACAATGATAAATGGAAAATTCTCTATTATCCCTCTGACGTAAGGAACGCTTGTCGATTTCATTCTGTTGAGTAACCAAAAATCCTTATTTTCAATCGAGGGGCTCAGATTGTTACCAATTACTTTTCAGTCAAGCAGACGATATTTTGGACGATAAGAGTATAGAGTGATCAAATCGAGTCAGAATAATGTGTCCAGACATGGTGTAGACTCACGAGTTGATCATTCTTTATTCTTTGTGTACTATTACATTGATGGCTAGCATGGTAAAAATCCGACTTAGCAGGTCGGTCTATAATACAGAGCAGGTAATCTTCATATTACATAAACATGTTAACGTCCTAAATATGACTGTAATGTTTGCCACTGGACGTTGAATAGGCACCAGGCAATCATTATTTTACATAGATGTTCTGCAGGTGTGCGATAGAAAATACCAGAGTCTACTTTTTTTTGTGATTTACAATTTTGTGATTTTGTGCGTCAAATGCTGAAAAATCTTAACCAAACAATATATCTCAAAAAGTAAAGTGATATTCTAAATTGACAATCTCATATGCCGTACGAATACATTTATCAATGCAATTTTTAATCCTCGATGATCCAATAATAGTATGATTCGATAGTTGTCCAGTTACTAGATCATAATACATACATGTAGTATTCCATAAAAGACTTATGAGTATTAACCCAGGGTGTGGACAGTGACGTATATGACTACTGCATGGGTTCGTCCCTGTAAGCTTTTTTTCTACTGATAAAGTGTTTGGGGTATTTAAGGATTTCTGATGGTAGCGTTACAATCTTTAGTAAAACAAACATCTCCTAGCAATCTTCTAGTCTTTCAAAACTTTCGTAACGTTAATGACACATACGTCAAATTTCACCTTTTCACCCTAGTATTTTGGTACTCTTTGGTTCTAGCTTTCCCTGTGAACGACCTTTGTTGATAACAAATAAATTCGTTTCTAGTGAACGACCTTTGAAGATAACAAATAATTTGTCATCAAGTGTAGGAATCCTAAAAAGATTTTATTGTAGAAGTTTACCCCCTCATCTTTCAAAAGGGAAGTGAAAAAAAAATTTTGTTTCTATCGTTATTAAGATGGGGAAAGTCAATAATTAAAAATAAAACTTGTTCGCTTTATATTATTGAAAGACAAACAAAAAAAGAGTTGTTTTATTTTGAAGTTTGAAAAAAAGGTACGTCCCAAGACCCCCCCCCTCCAAAAAAAAAATCCTCCCCACGCTCCAAAAAGATAAATAGTCGGTGCCTTATTCACCCTGTTGAATCCCGATCCCTGGCTCTGGTATTGATTTATCTAATTTAAAAACTGCATATCGAAACAGACCAGAAGAAACTACGTTTGAATTTGATTTATATTGCCTTAAAAAGTTTATGATATGTTTAATCATTTAAGACGTTTTTTCCTTGTTTTGTCCCTCTCATCAGAAGTATATAAAAGGTTGTGTATCAAAAATATACTCAAAGATATTAAGTTTGAAAGATACTAGAAACTAACAACCAGATCTTCAAAATATACAGATAGATATGTATAAAAAAAAGAGGAAAAACATTGGATTTTATTTGAATTTAATGAAAATATCATTAACTTCATTTTTTTATATTGTAATTAACAACCACGTTTCTATCAGTAAAAAAAATATGAAATAGAATAACAATTATAAACGTTGATTAGACTAAACATTTCAAAGTTGGATCTTAATGCCATCCGCTGAAACACCAAACAAAACATTCTCATAGACAGAATTCACATATTCTACAAGTATTTCAGTTAATATATATCAATTTAGATATATCCACAACGGATTAATTGATATAATTGACTGTAAAGATACACATATCATTTTGTAAAAATAAACTTTTCCCCACAATGATATACTTTTCCCCGAAACAACGGCAAAAATATACTTTCCCCATATGAATACTAAAAATAACTTGAAAACAAGTTATCTGAATATGGTAATATTTTCATGTTGCCAGACAATAATTGAATGAGATTAAAAAGCTTATACCCATATACCTTATTTCCATATGATTTCTTTCAGAAAAAAATATCTAACTGTAAAAAATAACTTCCTGTAATTAAAATAGTTCACGACATCAAAAAGGTAAGCATTCTATAATATTACCTTAATTTTAATGACGATATGTAACACTTCTTAACAAAATGTTCCTTCGCCCAGGAAGTCATATGTAATATTGCATTGCGCAATATTAGAACTCATATCGGGTTGACAGTATAAATGAGAGAAAAAAATTAGGATAATCACTTTCTCTCAAGGTAAGTCAGTATAAACACAGTAATACACTATTAGTTTATATATCTTAAATATAAAAAAAAGTCGTGAAAACAGTAATTTTGTATTCATACATTTTTTCACATCAATTTTAAAAATATCAGCTCTTGTATTTGAATCTATATACTAGAAACTATAATTTGTAAATTGATTAAATATTGTAGTTACTTGCTATAAATAAAACAAATTCAAAATTTAATCATTTGAATCGATATTAAGATATA